TGTGTCAAGTTGACATAAAACTAGCCAGCACAAATACTAAATTGGTAGAATTTATGTTTTCCTAAGCAAGGACACAGAGCCTTTAGGATGCTAAGTGAGTTGCCAGGCATATCCCCATCCCCCCACCCCCACCCCCGTGCGTGTGCGTGCGTGTGTGTGTGTGTGTGTGTGTGTGTGTGTGTGTGTGTGTGTGTATAAGACAGAGAGGGAGGAAGAGAGAGAAAGGGGGAAGGAGGGAGGGAGGTAAAGAATATAAATATCTGGGGTCTGAATCCAGCTTACTCTGACATTCAAATTCTTTGTTCTGCATCTGCTGCCTGACTCTTTCTAGGTACCATTTGTACTTTACTAGTGTGTCTGCACAGAAAACCTAAGCAGCAGGTAATGGGAATTTGGGGCACTATGGTGGGCTGACAGCAGGTATGGGGTAGGAAGGTTACACAGCTTTCCTTTTGTCCTTCAAATGGCAGTAGAGAGGTGACATCTGTCTCTGTCTCACAAGTGGGGCTCACTGCTCCAGGGTCCTGGAATGTAACTGTCACATGGTGTAAGTGGCCTTGAAAGTTGTGTCGTCTGGATGAAAACCCTCTACTCAGCTCCATTGGACTTTCTGATGATAGGGCCAGCAAAGGTGGGATTTTTGTAATTACTTCCCAAGTGACTGGAAAACAGAGCATCCCATTAATGATTGCTATATCCCACAAAACACCATGAAACTCAAAGACCCTTGGTTTCATCTGCTCTGTCTGCAGCCTGGATCCCCTGTTCATTCTGGTACCATCCCTGCCTTTGTTCTTCTGAGCTCATGGTGCAGCTATCTGGCTGACTCTGAACCTTGGACAAACTCAGCCACCCCTCCTCTGCACAGCACACTGGACTATTCCTTGGGATGTGGTGAGCTTCTCTGAGTGGCTTCCTTCCCAGCCCATGTTTTCCTGCTCAGCTGTGCTCCCATTCCAGCTCTTCCTGTCCTCTCTGGCAGGTAAAACCATTCCAGATGCATTTAGAGCTGCCAGTGACAGTCAGTGCACAGCCAGGCCTTCCAGCACGGTGGGATCTGTAGGTCAAGGGAAAGGGGGACCTCAGCACTCAGAACAGCTCCCTGAGGAGTGGCTGGACACCAAAAAATCTAAGCATGACCCCCACAAACTTACACTCTCATCCGCACACTTCTGAAAAAGGATCTTGGGGTCATTGCCATCTCCTCCTCCTGTCTTCCATCTTCCATGGATAGAAAAATCCACTCAATACCAAATATCATTCTTGGTTCTGTCAAAGAATGGTTCAGATCTCTGATACCCTGTAAGTGATGGCTGACTTCTGCGACACACCGCTCCCACCATTCCAAGGGGTGGGGGAGGGGGTCGTGACTCATGAACTGCTTGCATCCCTGACATGTGTGTCTCGGTCTTTCCTCTATCTGCAATTCTACTTGCTCATTAAGTTTAGTTATATTCTTGGGCTGAAGCAACCTCTAGGGCTTGAAGTCTAATTCGCTCACTTTCTCTTTTGGAGACGGCGAAGAACAAAGGCAAAGGCAATACGGATGCAGGAGAAGATACACCTGTTCAAGACAGAAACCCTCAAAGCAGCCCCTTTTGCAAACCAAACATTAAAAGTAATTTGGGTTGAGCTGAGATCTCCCTGAACTCAAAAGTGCAGGTGTAGGGAGATGAGAAGGAAGAATTATCTTGGAGATACAGTAATAAGCTAATACAGTGTGCATGACAACTTGGGGACCGAGATTCATAAATATATTCATGTTTGCTTCCCAGCAAGATTGATTAAATACACAAGCAAAAAGTTAGAGTCAAAGAGAGAATGAGAGAGAGAGAGAGAGAGAGAGAGAGAGAGAGAGAGAGAGAGAGAGAGAGAGAGAGAACACGAACGTGGGAGCCAGCTACAGAAGTTCTGTAAAGTATCAGGTCCAGACAAAGAATACTTCATCAAACACACAAACAGCCACTGCCTGAGACATTCGGGTTAGGAGCTGTCATAAATCAACCTGCCAAGAAACTTTGCAAAAGGTCATATTTACCATTCATCAGGCTCTGAGCATGTGCATGTTCATGGCTAGAAGGGAGAGACTCTTCTTGCGTGGCATTCTCTGAATCGCTTTCTGATTACCCAGCAGGAGAGGAGAAAGCATTCCTAGCTGATTCAGGGTCAGGGAAGTGAGAACAGAGACCCCGATCCCTTCACTTTGGGCGTGGAGGCTCATGCCTGGGAGGGGACATTACTTGGGCCCAGCCATTCACTTTCATGGTAACTCCTTTCACTTTTTGACAGGGCAGTGGTTTGACTTTGAAAAGAGCTCACCCACAGGTGTTGGGGGAAGCGACAGAGGCAGAGAGCAGCTCCCGGGGAGCGGTGGTCAAGAGGAAGGTGATATGGAGGGAAGTGGGCGCAGTTCAGGGTGTGGCCTGCTGCCTTCTAGGCCACTGAATTGGTTCTATTGAACAGGACCAAGAGATATTGGACTGGGACTCAGGTTCCCGTCCACGGAGTGGGTGTAACAATCCCCCTAACACCCGCTTCTCTCCATCCCTGGCTGGGATCGAACCCAGGGCCACCCACGGCTCTGTCACCGAGCTATGCCCCCAGCCCTCTCTACCTGCTCTTTTGAAACAGTAATCGCCACATCGATCCCGCCGAGCTTGGGCATTAGAAGTTTTTCCTCCTGTCCACTGCATCCCGCACCTGTCCTCTAGCTTCTCTCTGCCCTCCCCTCCCCCCTCCTAGGCACAGGTTAAGTGTTCCATGCTTTGTTTATTCATTTTCTCACCCGGGCTCCACACACCCTCCTTTAGGATACATTTGTTGTCTTCATCTCAGTGGTGAGAGAAGTGAGACTCGTGGGGATGATAAAAGGTGACAGAGAAGGCAGTCAATAGAACAGGCCAAGTGTAGAGTTCGGACCGGGGTAGACTTAGCCAAAGCCCTTACGTATAATGCTTATAACGCTTTAATTTACTTCTTTTCCCGACCTCCCCTTTCCCCTTCTTCCCACCACCTTTCTCTTCATCTCATTTCTGAGACAGAATCTCAGTACCCAGGCTGGCCTCAAACTCACAGCAATTCTCCTGCCTCAGTCTCCCTAATGCTGGTATTGCAGACCTATTTCCAACCCCTCTATGTTTTTAGTTATTTTCTCTGGGCACCACTCTCCTCTCTCTAAGTAGATAGGAGGACCAGATGCTCTCTCAACCTCCTTTTCCATTTGGGAACTCTGGTTGCTAGTCCTTTGGGTATAGTCAACTCTGTCTGCGCTTGACCTTGCTGAGCCAACTGCCCCCTACCGACACTTCCCTGTGAGGTCCTTGTCCCAGGCACTATTCAGGGAGCTCTGGTCTCAGCCCCCCCCCCCCCCCAGGCAGAGAGGAGCAGTTGGGGACTTGGAGGGTGTTGTAGGCCAGACTGTCACTGCCTGCTGCAGCCTCACCTGAGGGCTGTACAACCCTTGCTGACCCCCCCCCCCACCACCTCAGGTGTGGATGGAGTGATGCAAGGGACCCTGCAGGGTGATTAGATACCCCCAGGGTGCTGTGCTACTTGGTCTGACTGGCTGCTGAGGAATGAGAGTGCTGTGTTGTGTAAACACATTTGCAGCTAGAGCTGTGTGTGGCCCTCGGGGGCCCATTTCCTGGGCTTGGTGGCGAGAAGTGTCTTCACAGCATGATTGACGGAGGAGCCGTGGGGAAAGCTAAGCAGATGGTGATTTCCCTCAGTGTGGACTCCCCTGCTCTTAGCTAAAGGGCAGAAGGAGCGGTCTGGAGTGGCTGTGGGGCCAGGGACCCCAGGTGGCCTCTAAGCATGTGGACATATGTGGACATATTCAGCCATGTGCTCCACAGTTCGCTGCCCTTGACCAGTAAGGGCAAGTGAGGGCAGGAAGTCTCCTCTGGGGGGTCACCCAGGGTGTGTGGTGGGACTGGGTGGCTGCTGCAGGAAGAAGAGGCTCCCTCATGGTGCCCTGTCTCCATCTTGGGAGCGAGTGGGATGGAGTGATGGGTGCCAGCTGGTGGCACTAACTGGGTGGAGCCTTCAGGGAAGGAATTCCACTTTATTAGTGCATGATTAGCCACTCATATTAAAATGGGGGGGATGCTGGGACTCTGTGAGCACCCCCAGCAAGCCACAAAGGGAGGACTCAGCATTTAGCAATAGTTTAGGGTGCAGATCTTACTCAGTCTTTTCGCTGTAACCGAAGCTAGGTGGCTTCTAAGTCACAGAAATGTATTTCCCACTGTTCTGAAGCTGCAAGTTGAGGTCAGGATGCCAGCATAGCAGAGGCCCTTATGAACAGACTACTGACTTCCCAAATCCCCACGTGCCAGAGAGCAGCCAGAAGCAGCACTGTCTCAGGACTCTGCTAAGGGCACTAATCCTATTCCGGAGGGCCCCACCACACTTACCATCTTATACAATCTCAAAGGCCCACCTCCTATTCCCATCACGGTTGGAGTTTCAACAGATGAGTGTTGGAAAGACACAAACATCCAGTCCCTCAACCAGGCCAAGATGTTGAAGTGTTACAGGCATAGTGTCTGGGACCCGAGGACAGCTGTCCAGTTCAGTTAGAGAAGCGCGAGGCGTCACTGTCTGGCGCCAGCAGTGGCCCCAGTGCCTGAGCAGTACGGTTGCTGTCTTTTATTCTGCCTGCTTGGGGTTGAGAGCGGTGCTTTTGGTCTCAGTCGCTCAGTGATGGGTCTCGGAGCCTTCCTCACGGATGGGCCTGGGCTTCAGTGCCTAACAGGACATCAGCTGAAGCAGCTTTTCCTCCAGGAGAGCACCTGAAAAGAGCTTGCCCATGTGACTGATTATGACTCACAAACAGCAGGCAGGGCCCCGGCTGGCCTTGCTTTCTTCTTCTCTATCAAGATGAGCAGGGCTGTTACCTTTCTGTTCAGAGTCCAGGGGAGGGAGAATTCAGGTGCCAAGCCGGCAGAAACCCACCGTCCTCCACTAGAAACAGCAGAGACTCCAGTTCCTGCGTCACTATTGGAGGAGGATGAAAGCCGTGCCCAGAGATGGACTGGAGACTCCACCTCCCCTGCCAGCATCCCTGGAGACGAGGTACCTGACGCACTTGGCTGTCTCCTGCTTGAATCTCTGCAGCTTCTCTTTGGCACCTAGGTGAGAGAGGCCAGATGTCTGAGAGTTCTTGAGCCGCGAGATAGCTGTTGTGGAGATTTGGGTGTTTTTATTTGCAGTTTTCAGACATGTGACCTTTAGCCCTTGCTTTCCTCTTCCGTTCCTCTCTCAGACAAAGATGGCTAGTAGTCCATGTGCAGGGTCATCAGCCCTGGAGGATTCTCTGTGTGAGTTTCAAGGCCAGAAGAGGTTGCCAGATGCCTCCCTCTATCACTTTCTGCCTTATTCACTTGAGAGAGAGGCTCCCACTGCATTTGGATGTTTGCACGGGACAACAGCCAGCCTTTTAGTTGGGTGTCTGAACTCAGGTTTTCTTGCTTACAAAACAAGCTCTCCCTATCCCCCCCCCCTCATGCCTGGCCTTTTATGTGGGTTCTAGTGATCTGAACTCAGGGCCTCCTGCTTGTGAGGCAGACCCCCCCCGACCCAAGCCATCTTCCCAGCCCCAGGTCCATGGAGATTTTTTTTTAACCTGTGCTGAAAGCACGTGGTAAAGGAGGGGTTGGCTGCAGTAAAGCTTCTCTGAGTGACAAGTGAGGGACTGAGAGAGCCAGCCAACTTGAGCCCAGGATGGAGGTACTGAGTTTCTCACCGCAAAAGGTCTTCCTGCTCCACTCAAGCATTTCGTGTATTGAGAGCCCCTGCCGTGGAGCCGGGATGAATCCTGGGCCTGGCCCAGTGCATACTTGACACTAAATCACGGAGATAATATAACAGCATTTGAATTGGATTCTGTGCTGGCCAGTCTTGGGTCAACTTGACACACAAACTAGAGGCCGCTGAAAGGAGGGAACCTCAAGTGAGAGAACGCTTCCACAAGATCAGGCTGCAAGACGTTTTCTTAATTAGTGATTGGTAGGGGAGGGTCCAGCCCACTCGGGATGGTGCTGCTCCTGGACTGGTGGTCCTGGGTTCTATAAGAAAGCAGGCTGAATGAGCTATGGGAAGCAAGCCAGTAAGCAGCAGCCCTTCCTGGCTTTTGCATCAGCTCCCGCCTCCAGATTCTTGCCCTGTCTGGGTTCCTGACTTCCTTTGATGATGAACAGTGTTGTGGGATGTTCTCTATGCTGTGAATGTATTGCCATGACTGATTGATAAATAAAACACTGATTGGCCAGTAGCCAGGCAGGAATTATAGGTGGGACTAACTGAGAGGAGAATTGGGGGAAGAGGAAGGCGGAGTCGAGGAGATGCTGCCAGCTGCCACGATGAGGAGCAGGATGTAAAATACCAGCAAGCCATGAGCCACATGGCAAAGTATAGATGAATAGAAATGGGTTAATTTAAGATAGAAGAACTAGATAACAAGAAGCCTGCCACGGCCATACAGTTTGTAAGCAATATAAGTCTCTGTGTTTACTTGGTTGGGTCTGAGCGGCTGTGGGACTGGCGGGTG